CATCAGCCGGCCCTCCATGTCTTGGAGTGTCTGCTGCACGGGGAGTCTGTCTGCCGCCGCCGTGGTGAGGTAGGCGGCCGCTGTTGCAAGCGGGGAGCTGCTGTCCAGGGGCAGGGATGTGATGAGGTGCACAGCCGCTGTGGTTGATGCGAGGTAGGCTGCTGGTGCTTCCGCTGTTGGGTCGATGATGCCCAGTCCGCCTAGTCCTACTGGGAGGGTGGCCTGTCGCCAGAGAAGGCTCTGGTCTAGGTCGCACCTCGGGTAGCGTAGCTGTGCCGCTTCCAGTGCCGTTCGTACCAGTCGTTCGCTCCACTCCCGCCAGGCTTCTAGGGGGAGGTGGTCCGCGGGGGTGGTGCGTAGCAGGAAAGTGATCCGCCGCGAAATGCACCTTGTGAGGAGCAGCAGGGCATGCTGGGGGTGGAGTCCTGCGACTAGGGGGAGTGGTGCCGCTGCTGCCTGCAGCTCCTTTGCTAGGTAGGCCCGGCAGAATGCCGGTGTGCCGACGGGGCTCCCAAGGATGCGCAACCCTTCGTCCGCCACCGGCACCCCTGGGGGCGTAGATCCTGGTGCGAGGTTTTTTGGGCTCCATGCCGCGCTCTTCTGCTGGTTGCAGCTCAGCCCGCTCTCTGCCAGTAGTGTAGTCAGGAGTGTGAAGGCCTCTGCTGCTTCCGCTGCTGGGCCTGCTAGGGTGATGTCATCCGCGTACGCCGCCAGCATTACTGAGGGGAAGGCTGTGGCGGTGAGGAGCAGGGCCGGTTGGATGGCTGCCGCGATCAGTAGTGGGTCCAGAGGGTCTCCCTGCCGGACCCCTCTTGTGCTTGTCAGTGTGGGTGCCGTGTAGTCGTCGTCTAGGATCAGGGTCGACGGCCGCGCGTACAGGGTTTTGGTGAGCGGGATGAGTGCCGTTAGACCCGACCAGAGTAGGCTACGGAAAAAGGCTGCTCGTTCCACGGAGTTGAAGGCGTTGCTGATGTCGATGGCAATGACGACGTGGTTAGGGTGGGCTTCTAGGTAGGTGCGGATAGCGTGGATGATGCATTCTGAGCCTCCTGACACTGCGACTCCAAACTGGACTGGCAGGAGATATTGGCAAATTTCTGTTTCCAGCGTTTGTAGCGCTGCCTTCCCCACGAGTCTGAGGATAGCTTCCCCGATAGCTATGGGGCAGACTCCTCCTCCCGGTTTCTCAAAGGCTAGGAGGCGGCTGGGCAGGAGGAGGTCTGCTACCGGTTCTGTTAGTGTCGTGCTGAGCAGGTGGTTGCAGGCTGCGTGGAGGAGGTTGCACACTTCGTTGTTCGAGAGGGCTGGCTCGCGCAGATGTTCGTAGCAGGTTCCTGAGGGCCCTCCCCCTATTCCGTTTGGGCAGGATGCGAGGAGTCGCCGGAAGTCCTCCAGCGTGATGGAGAGGGTGGACGTGACGTGTCCCTCCAGTTGTGCTGGTAGTGGTGTCGCCGCTGGGGGGTGTTTGTCTCGTAGTGCATCCAGGGTCGATTCTGACACAGCGGCGAGCGGGGTGTGTCGCAGTGCAGTTACCGCTTTGGCGAGGTTCGCTTTACGGACCAGGCCTTCTGCTCTCGCTCTCAGGCCCTGCGCGTCGGGCCTGTGTCGTGTCTGTTGGCGGGGTGTCAGGTTGGATTTTGCTTGTTGCAGCAGGTTGTCCCATGCACCGCACCGGAATTGGTGGAGGCGGTTCTCGACAGACGTCCAGTCAGGTTTTGGGTTCCCTCCTGGGTTCAGGGTCAGTCGGGGCAGTAGTAAGAAGATTCGCCATGCGCCCAGGCTGGTTGGGTGTATTGCGATTCGTAGGAGCGGTGTGAGCAGGCAGTGAGTGTATTCCTCTAAAATTTTTGGTGGCAGGCGCCTCGGCAGGTGTGGTTGTCGCGGGTTGGTGAGGTGGGAAATGTCCCAGGTTTCCACTTCTCGCCACCTGTCGTTGTCCGTTGCGAGTGTTCTGGCGTGCGGGCGGCCTGTTCGTCGGAGTTCGCCGAGGTCAGGATTTGGGGTTGGGGCGCTCCGATGTTCCCTCCTCTTGGTGGCGCCTCGGTTTGTCGAGCGACTCGACGCTCCCCACCCCTCTCTTCTCCCTCGTCAGTGACGGATTCGTTCTCAGAGGGGGGAGCAGATGGGGCTGTATAATTGGAGCCCTCCGAGCCTCCCTCATTCGCTCTCCCCTCAGCTTCCACCACAATTTCCCTCCCGTGTCGCTCCCTCCAGGGCTGTCGCCGTCGTTCCGCTAGTCCCTCCTCCAACGATCTCCGCACCTGGGTGCCTCCGCATCCCCTTCCGCCTCTCCCTCCGCGCCGTCCCCTTCCCCTCGTGGCACTACCCTCCCTTGGTGGCTGGCGGCTGCCGGCCTCCTCTCCATGGTGTTCTCTTCCTGTGCTCCCCCGTGCCACTAGTTCCGATGGATCTCGACCTTCTGCTGTCTCCTCGTAGCCACCTCCGTGTCTGGGAGGTCCAGCATTCGTCTGGTATGCCCTCTCCCTATCGGTCGGGGTTGTCGCGCCTCCCGCGTCCCCACGGGTATCGTCCTGGCGTAGGTGTCGCTCCGCCGTACCGTCCATTTCCTGCCGCTGCTCCTCATCACGAGGTGGTTCCCAGTGGGGCCGCCTCGCCAGTTGGCTCTCCTCGTGGGGTTCGTCTCCGGCGGTGCCATCCTCATCTCTCCATCCCCCGTCTTCGCCGGTCTCGCGACAGGCCACGGTACAGTCCGGCGGAGCAGCTTCTCGGGGTGGCGGACTATCTGGGTTGGCTCGCCAAGGTGATGGAGGTGTTGCATGTGGCCTTGGCGCGGCGTCCGCCCGTTGCTCGGGACTCGGTGTTGTCACGGCGTCAGTGAGCACGAGTTGAGGAGGCGGCTGCGCGACTACAATGGGTCTTGTATACGTCCTGCTCCCTCCGCGAGGTGTCGTTGATGAGGCCGCAGCGGCGCCACTCGCGGTGTCTGCCCTCTCTCGCGCGGGGGCGGGCGAGACTGCTCTCGGCCTTGTGTCTGCCTCCGCGTCTGTACTCCGGCCATGCAGGGTGTGTTGGCCCAGCTGCCTTCGCTGGTTTGATCCTCGGCATGTTCTTGTGGCGGTCGTGGCGGGGTTTAGCACACCCTTCTGCCGTAGCTAGTCTAGGAGCTAGGTGGCTTGCCTTGCCCGGTGTATCGCCATCGATATTTATATATATATATATATATATATTATATATAATATATATATAATATACGGGGTTCTGCGTTCGGCATGCTGTCTTGTCACCCTGTCCTGCGCGGCTGAAGGCCGCGCTGCGAGCTCCGGCGGCCTCCGGCCGCCGGAGCTAGCGCCGACACCGAAGGCCGAGAAGCGGTCAAAGACGAAAATTGAATAATGAAGAGAGAATGGTCTCTGGGCTGTTTATATACCCTCTCCCTCTCTCTCTCTCTCTCTCTCTCCTCTCTCTCTCTCTCTCTCTCTCTCTCTCTCCTCTCTCTCTCTCTCTCCTCTCCTCTCCTCTCTCTTCTCTCTCTCTC